CTTTAGTATGGAATAAAGCGCCTCAATTATTTAAGGGGATTTGTAGCTTTGAAGAAAATTTGACAGCAATAGTTTCAAGCATAAAAAATTGCTAATACTCCAGATGTACTACCTCCACCAGCATGTCGACGGCATGTCTATAGGGTTATCGTCGACCGATTTGGTTGGTTTTGACTTAAGTTGGAGGGGTACTTTTATATAGTGTATCAGCATCTACTGGTTTTGTATAGCACTACCGACGAATCTAGCTATTATGAGTTGAGGGAAAGCTGGAATTTTGTTTCACAATGTACTTCAAAAGGCTGTTCATACATATAACGGAATGCAATTTTACTGTTACTTCATCGTCTGACCAGCACCTGCGGCAGGATTATAAGCGTGATATAGCGACATAGATTACAAGGTTGTGCAAATAGCATAGAGCGTCTAATTAAATAGATAATCTTTATTTTCTAAAACGTTATAAGGATTGCCCGATCCACAGCCTTACGGAATCCACTATAAAAAGAAAATAGTGAAAGAGTTGATTTAAAAAGATTGTATATATTTCCGCTACTTCAGGAATTCCGCTTGATTGGCTGTAAAGATGGGGATTTAAGAGCCTGGGTGCAAAAATATTCCGAAGATGAAAGATTTCTGGAAATTTTAAATGTGCTTGTTCATTGTTCGAGCCAAGTAAAAGAATACATGAGTGGCAGAAACAGTTTCGAGCTGATCGCTTAACAACGTGCTACTATACATCAACTATTGACACAAATTTTGTGTGCTCCAGGGTGACTGGAAGAGGAAGACGAGAGCTGACACTTGAAGAGCGTGAGCAGAGCTTCAAGTCAATCTAATAAAAAAAGATAATGGTAAAACAAATATGTAGTTAATGCAAATATTCATTTATCAATTTTTTGGATGGTTCTTTGTCAGAAATCGTTTGTATAAAGAATGTATATGAACGTAGTGAAATAGAACTGGAGGAGGTTAAGAAGGGAAATAAAAATAACTCACAGATTTCGATAATTTTATTTGATTCCCGAGTTTGAGGGATCCGAAATTCCCTGTCATTGGAGCTGAGTTGGAGAACCGAATAGGCAGCAGTGGGTGTGGCCGAATCGGAATGATGGGACTGAGGCATCTTATTATGGTAGATGACCGACTATCATGTTCTGACAGAGGCTGTGAATAGTGAGGACTAAAATAAAAAACAAGGTCAAGAGATTAGATGCGAGGCAATACTTAGAATAGAGATCTCTTGAACAGAGAGTTTTAATAGCTGGTCTGCCAGCAATGAGATGAGTTCATACGTTTGATGCAGATATTTGCGACGATTTTTTCTCTTCTTAATTAGTTAAGGCTGCTGGTAATATGGCCATTTTTATTAAATTCTTGCGACCTATGTTCTGGAAAATCCTTATTTCACAAAGGGTTGGAGCATCAACTATTATTGTTGGGGCGAATTCCATTTCGTATGAAAGTGCATGAAGAGGAGATTCGAAGGTCGATCTCATCAGAAGAGGACGCCTGAATCCCACCGTACTGCAGACGTTTGGCTTTAACACGGCATTCAGATTGACGCAGTCCATGAGACCTCCTTACTCACTTCAGATGAAAATGGGCTGAGCTTTTGCCCATCATATGATGAACATCATCAGAACTTGAACTCATTTTTGCAAAAGTCTTACGTTAATACAAGGTTAAGAGGACGTCAAGAAAGAGCTCAAAAAAGATAATTAGCCACATAATTTCATATCTATCTAGGCCTTTTAATTTTCGTTCGCTTAATTGAGCCTATATAAGAGGTAAAATAGAGCCAGATATTCTTCTTGACCTAGTGTTAACGAGAGACTTTTACAATAATAAGTTTCAGTTTTGATGATGTCCATCTTATTATGGACGAAGGCTCAGCTCATTTTCACATAAAACGAGGGAGTAGGTCTTATGGACTGCGTAAACACGAATCTCGTATTAAAGCCAAACGGCTGCGATACAACGGGAATTAGTCGTACTCTTCTGGTAAGATCGACCTTCGAATCTCTTCTTTATGCACTTTTATACGAAATGAAAGTCTCCCCAACAATGTTATCTCAGAAGATTCATCGAAACCCAACTACTCTTCGAATCTACATTAATTATTAGTTTGAACGATTCTTGTAGGTTTATTGAAGGACAAAATGTTGACTCAACAACGGCTCGAATTGTAGTAGTTTACCCCTATTAAGCAAACATGTTGTTTCCAAATCATAACGATCAGCACAAAACATAGCTCCTAGTTCCCATGAATTGGCTATATTGACTAAAAGATACCAATAAGTTGATTAGTATGGCGTCCACTGCGATCGTTAGCACAAGTTCTTGTAAGATTCAGCAGATATTGATAGGTAAACTATCCATGACAAATTAAAGGAGGAGACAATTAAATGAACTGTTTTGCGCATCCCTAAAAGGGTTATGAGTGATTTGTTTAATAATACTTGAGGTCAAAACGACTAATCATATCACTCTGCTGAACAAACAATACATACGTCTAGTGCTACGGCATTCCTCACTATACTTTTAACCTTTTCTTGAAGTTCAACGCCTTGTTACTCAACGTCTCTAGGCTAATGTGGCCTTAAGATAAGATGTATGCCCATAAACTCTCCTGCCCCACGTTCAAATTCCAATGAGGGTATCAATTTGACGTAGATGATGCAAAAATGTAGTCCACCCTGGCTGAGAACACCCTTTTGGGATATTCTATATATTGTATATCAATGATAGAATCAATTCCTCATGGGTAGTGAGTCATAAGTGCCTGAGAATACTATGATAAAAATAATTATCGAATATTATTCATGAATTATTCATTAGGTCCCTTAGATAAAACATAAAAAATCTCGCCGGCAAAAAGGACATGAAAACAAAATCTTTCAAAGCATAATTGGGGCATTAAAAATTGATTGCCATTTTATATATTGTCTGCTTCCTCTTTCAATCGGCTGGTCCATTTACAGGCTTCAATCAACCTATGTACCCCATATGCTAAGTCATTGAGTTTGTCACTAAGTTCGAAGTAATTCTAGTGCGATTGCAGGGTCTGTTTAGTTTTTTGTATTTTTTACTTAAGTAAATCCCGAATTTACGCTCAGCACGACAACGACCACTTAGTAAATATGAAGAGAAGCCCCTAATATAATGATGTAGGCGTATATTTCATTTTTTTAAAGAGATGGGTAGAAGGAATTCGTAAAGTGGTCCCAATGGAAACAGAAGGGGGATTGCCTTTAAGTTGTGAGTTTTGATTCTGTGAAAAAGCTCTCGGCTCACCGTCCTGCAGATATATTTTCTGAGCTTTGGTCTGCCACATGAGAGATATCGTTAGAGCAATCAAGCATCATCTAAGAAAACTTCACCAGATCATTAAAGCAAAGAAGGTTTAATGGTTACATCGAGGCCGCAGAACAGTGAGTTAAGGTGTTCTTTGAACTCTAAGGCAATCCTCCTTCCGTTTGCGGTAAGGCCAACTTGCGGATCCCTTCCATTCGCCCTTTCAAAAGAAACGAAAAGTCACGCCAATATCACATGTTACTTTCCCATTTTGAATGTCCAATTATTAGTACCTTCGCATTTGGTACGCAGTCGGTTGAAAATTTAAAGTTGTTAGTCTAATGCAAGTATACGCTAGGAATCTTTTCTTGATAAAGACTCTTTTATATGTGGATGTGTTTTTTGCAGACAGTGATGTATTGAGTTCGAAATGTTTTCAAAATATTAAATAGGAAATAAATGTTAATGGGTAGAAAGCATATGACTAGATAACTAAAAAACGTGGAAGAAAATGCACTCATTGATATCAAAGGAATTGTTAATAGCAGCTCTTGTGTCAAGTAAAACATAATTGAACTCTGATATACCTATCAATTAAGGGTGTCCCATAAAGTGACTGCCTCGAATAATATTGCTGGTTTGACTTAGTTTTTAGCTTTCGAGACTGTGCTCGTCCTTTGTATGCCTGTTGCTGCTCCTCTTTATGCCCACTGGCTTGCGAGTGCGTCCATTCCGGTGAGCGACATTGCTTCTCTGAACGATTCACTTCATCTACTCCATCCTTTTTTGTTGTTAATGGTGATGCATGCGCTTTGGCAGACTCGCAAGTGGCCTTTTCCTTTGGCGCTACAGTTAGCCAAGCTACTGACTAAATAGAGAGAAAGAGAGGGGAAAGAAGATGGGAGAGGATGGTAGAAGAGAGAACATATGTAATATTAAGTAAAAATGGAAAATTGTTCCAGAGGGAAGAAGATAATAAAAATGTAGAAGTAAATGAAAGGAAACACCAGTATAATCAAAAATATTGAATAAAAAGGATAATTTAAAATAAAAAAGAAGCAACAAAGAGGAACAGGAACTAGGGGATGCGCACATAATGAGAAATTAAAGAGATAGGCTAGAAAGGCTAATATTCCAAATTAGCCACACGTTCACTCATATTCATGTCACCTGTCCAGTTGGGTTAAGGAGTAACAGAGTTGTAGAAGCTTGTCGGCTGGCCGGAGTTGGCCACCGAGAGACGTCAGGGCATCGGAAGTCGGTTGGTGGAGCATGAAGAAGACGTGAATCAGCAAGCCCACCGGCCCACAATGTAAGGACCGAGCGTGCCGGCATTTGTAGTAGACCTGGAAGTCGGAAGCAGATCATTGGGGCCACAGTCATGGATCCCGAGACCTGACTGATTGTAAAGCCATCAAGTGAGACCTCCTTCAAAAAGGTATGGATTGAAAATGTATTTTTTAAAGGATGCAATTGTTGAAGAAAAGAGGTAGAAGAAGTTTGAAGGAATAAGTAGAAATAAGCTAATTAATTCGAAATTGATGAAGATTAGGAAGTTGGGTTGAGCCAGTTTTCATAATTTGGTCGGGGAGAGGGAGACCTCGTAAATATACCTAGTCCTGCATCATCTGCCTGAGTAGTTATGATAACTTCTAGCTTCTGATCGTTGTGTCTTTGTCGATTGCTGTTCAGTGATGAAGAGACCGAATACGATGCCAAGGAATGTACCAAATTAGCGCTCGGATGCTGGAAATTACCACGACTACTATGACATGGGACAGAGGACTTGTTAGGTTCTATAAAGTCTCCATACCGTCACGACCAAAGTTCGAAAATGGGGTATAACCCAAGTATATAGAGATATGGCAAACTGCGATCAAACCTACGATCACACCATCTTAGTCGTCGTAGCAATATACTTTAATTAAGATTGACTTAAACGAATGTAGAAATAATTCTTAATAATGCTTAATTATGATGAAATAGGCAATTTCGACATGAAGATTCTATTTTGACCTCTAAATGTGTAATCCTCAAAACATTATACCAACCAGAAGCTCTATTTTACTAACAAAACATAAAATAAGTGATACTCAATTCAAGCTCAATAACCCCTTAGAGGCTATGAAGAAAAGCTGGATTTTAAAGAGTCCCTTAATAAATTGATACTGGCGTACCTTTCATTTCGTTTGAGACGGTGGGTCGAAGGGATTCGTAGATTGGCCTCACCGAACAATCGCAGAAAGGTTGCCTTAGACTTTTGTCTGTTGAACTGTGTCAAGAAAACCTCGGTTCACCGTTCTACAACCCTGATGACTCCTTACTGAGCTTAGGTCCATCATATGACGGACATCGTCAGAGCCAGAAACCACTTTCACAAAAGAATCACCAAAAAACAGTAAACCAAGAAAGGTGGCCAGCTAAGATCCTACTTACTTCTTATACCTCACTTTGCGATCTTAATGATGCATTCCATTATTTGGTTGGCTGAGGTACGCTTGTTCTACACGCTTGTAAGTAGGTCAAAGTGATGCAGGCAGGGGAGCGGATCTTATCACAACTTTTGTAAATGTAAATAAACTAGAGTATCGTCCAGTTGTGACCACATCCGCTTCTATGCCTACATCACTTTGACCCACTTACATGCATGTAGGACAAGCATTCATCAGCCAACCAAATCATGGAATGCCTCATTAAAATCGCAAAGTGAGGTATAAGAAGTAATAAAGATCTCAGCTGGCCATACTTTAAGCAAGGGTTTATGGATTCAGAAATCGGAAGTGGCTGAGCATGTGGTTGCTACAGGACATCAAATAGAGTAGTCTAAATCCCAACTTTTTGCCTTATATTGGGAATATCAAGGAGTCTATTGAAAGTAACAAAACAAACAACATCCTGAATAAGAGTAATGAATGTAGGAAACTAAGTAGGAACTATCTCTGGCTTCTAAATAGAATGAGAGAGAGAGAGAGAGGAGGAAAGGTAACAGGAAAAGCCACTGAGTAAGAAAAGGCCAGACTAAGCTGGAGATTGTTTTTGAACCTAAACTTGTTAACCAACTCGGAGTAGTTGCACACACACGCAAACACGCATCCACGAAGCTGTAACAAGGCCCAGGGCTACTGGATCATATTTTAGTTTATGTACATGGAAAAAAGTTGTGACCAAATCCGCTCCCTTGCCTGCATCACTTTGACCCAACTACATCCATGTAGGACAAGCGTACTTCAACCAACCAAATCATGGAATGCATCATTAAGATCGCAAAGTGAGGTATAAGAAGTAAGCAAGATCTCAGTTGGCCACCTTTCTTGGTTTAATGTTTTTTCGTGATTCTTTCGTGAAAATGGTTTCTGGCTCTGACGATGTCCGTCACATGATGGACAAAAGCTCAACACGGAGTCATCAAGTTCGTAGGACAGTGAGCCGAGGGTTTCTTCACACAGTTCAACAGACAAAAGTCAAAGGCAACCTTCTGCGATATTTCGGTGAGGCCAATCTACGAATCCCTTCTAACCGCCTTCTCAAACGAAATGAAAGGTAGGTCAGTATCACCCTTAGAGGCTGTCAGATAAAAGGTATTATAGGATTTAAAAAATTGGCTCCTCATCTTTTTGATATTCATTAGACGTAAACACGATACTGATTTAGCTAAATTGTTGAACTTTGTAATGTAGACTTTAAAGAGGAAGGGGAAAGAATTGATCCGGAAAAAGCCTCCATACCATTTATTGGTAGACAAAAAATTACGTCTGGTACATTTCCGTCATTGGATTTAATTAGTTCATAAAACGAAATGGATACATGCTTCTTTAGGCTATGAGAATTCGTGTGTACACGAGTTGTCATTGATTTGCGAATTTCAAAGAATTATGCATGCATATTAATGGGAAGAATTAAAATGATTTTTGCACGAACTGGAATTAAATATGAGATGTATTCACCCAATTTCGTTTAAGACGAATTTTCCCACAATGATATGAGTAGAGCTGACGTTTCCATTGAATTTCAAATAGCCTTGCTTTTCCAAAAGTTGTTCTCATCCTGGGTGGACTGCAGTTTCGACCTCGCATTGGTCTTAT